GCCTCGACTTACCTGCATCTGCCTTCATTTATCCAGCTTGACCTTCACAGGTGCTCTGCTCCCCTCGCGCGGCACGGTATGTGGCCTGACGAGGAGGAGGATATGGAGGAGGCGGAGGAGGAGGAGAAGGAGGAGAAGGAAGAGGTGGAGGAGGAGGAGGAGGAGGAGGAGGAGGAGGACGGGGAGGAGGAGGGGGGGTGTGGACGGGGAGGAGATTGGGGGAGGACGGGGAGGGGGAGAAGGAGGAGGAGGAGCAGGAGGAGGAGGAGGGAAGAAGACGAGGGAAGAGGAGGAGGAGGAGGAAGAGGAGGAGGAGGAGGAGGAGGGCGAGGGGGAGGAGGCGGAGGAGGAGGAGGACGAGGAGGAGGAGAAGCAGGAGGAGGACGACGAGGAGGACGACGAGGAGGAGGACGACGAGGAGGAGGAGGGGAAGGAAAAGGAGGAGGAGGAGGACGGGCAGGAGGAGGCGTAGGAAGAGGAAGGAGGAGGAGGAGGAGGAGGAGGAGGAGGAGAACGAGGAGGAGGGCGAGGGGACACCCGAGGTAGCGAGAGCTGCGCCGCCGAGGGGCGCGCTGGTGCTGACCGCCCCCTTCGACGTGGCGCGCGACGTGGCAGTCTCGATGAAGAAGTCGGCGAAGGGGTCCGGCTGCGGTTCGGCCTTTCGCTCGAAGCTCGAAGTTCGAGGCTTTATGCGCTCTCGTCGTGTCTCGGAGGTTTTCCAGCCTCGGGGTGCTTTGAAACAGCTGCACCTCGTCGAGAGCGTCCTCGGGGGGGGCCCAGATCGTCCCGAACGCCCGCTGGGGGCCTGGGTTATGGCTCGAAAACTACCTGGACCTTCAAGGGTATGATTTTTGTCTGCAGCGGTTTTTGTTCACGATCTCGGCCCTCGGTGGCCATTTGCGGGCCCCGCGGCCCTCAAGAACGGGGGGGTGCCTGGAATCCTCGCGTCGCGAAGAAATCATGGCACGACGTCTTTTCTCTGCCGTTTTCGGCTTCCCGGGGCCCTGGCCAAAGGACAGCGGAAAAAACGGCTCAGAGTGAAAAGTTGATCTTGACCTCTGGGTCGCTGGACGAGCCCTGAGATCTTGGCGTTACAATTTTCTGACACCGGGCGTGTTTGCCCAGTTTCCGGCCCCCAGACCCCCGCGGATCGATCCCGCTCGAGACATGCCGCACGGAGATGGGAGATGGGGTTTAGGGCTCTGGTCGCGATGACCCACGGTCTTCCATTGCTGCGCGGCGTCGGGCCTGGGGGGAAAGTCCGCCGCGGGGCGGGCGAGGAGGGAGGAGGGAGGACGAGGAGAGAGGAGGCTAGCCAGAGGGAGGAGGGAGGAAGGAGGAAAGAGGAGGGAGGAGGAAGAGGAGGAGGACGCGAGGAGGAGGAGGAGGAGGAGAAGGAGGAGGGGGAGGAGGAGGACGATGAAGAGAAGGAGCAGGAGGCCAAAGAGGAAGAAGACACGGATGGGTAGGAGCATCAGGGGAAATGACAGAAGGAGCACACCTTTTGGCTCGAGCGCGGCGATGGGTCGTAACCACCGTTTGCATGGTAACGGGGCGCGTTTACCTTGACTTGGCCACCTCGTGTGGAACGTGCCCTTGACTGGTAGCGCCAATGTCAATCAAGCGCTGAAACGAAACCACCGAGCAACCCGGACGGGCGCTCGCAGGAACAGCGACGCGGGAGAAAACGATAGTGAAACCACAGGACAGGGCCAACCAGGAAGGGGGATGGAAACAGAGGGGAAGCTGGATGACGACCATGAAGGCGCCGTGGCAGCAAAGCCCAACTGCCGCGGCGACGGAGGCGCGGAGACAAAGAGCAGAGGCCCGCGAACCGTCGCGCAGCAAAGGCAACGCAAACCGAGACGCAGGGGCAGCGTCCAGCGAAGGCCAACGCAGAAACCGTTCAGACGGCACACATGAATCCGCGGCACGGACAAAGACAGGCGGGAACGGAGCAGTGCGAAAAGACAGGTGGCTGGCTCGACCAGCGACACCTGCGGCAATTTAGAGACACATGCCGACATGCTAGGGTCGAGTCGCACGAAGCGAAGACGCAGGATGAGACACACACACACACACACACACACACACACACACACACACACACACACGTTTTGGGCGTCGCGGCCCCGCGCGCAGCGTCGAGGCGTAGAAAGTCGGACAACGATACGCGCGCGGCCGGCCCAGGTCACGCGCTGTGGGGACTGGGCTCCGCCCAGAAGGGGATCGACCGAGTCGTGCGCGGGGGGCCACGAGGGGTGGGACGGGGCGCGGGGGGGCGAGACGAAGAGGACATGCACAGCACGCGTGCGCAAGGCGGGGCGCAGCGGCAAGCCGCAACGGCAGTGCCGTGGTGGAGGGGAGAGTCAAAGCCAGCGAGGGCCAGCCCAGGCAGGTGCGAGGGAAAGACAGCCCCAGGGCGCGGAAAAGCGCAGGGGTAGAGCCGCGGACACAAGGTTCAAGTCCGAAGGCACCAAATGATCCAAGACAGTCAGACGCTGGTCGGGCAAGCGGAAACCACAGACACACCCACACACACACACACACACACACACACACACACACGCACACACACACACAAACACACAAACACACACATGCGCGCGCACTCAATGTGTGGCGTCGCGGCCACGCGGGCGGCGGCGTGGCGTGGTACAAGTCAGACGAACGCGCGGACACACACGCACACACGCACACTGGTTTCCAAAAAGCCAAAGTACTGCAGCCGACCAAGGTGAGTGGCGAAGGCGCATGGAGACGCGGGAACGGCAGCGGCACCGGGGACACCTCTAGAGCCAGAGGGTGGCACGTGCCCTTGCTGCGGGCACGGCGTCCGACGGCGAGCCAAGCGCCCCGGAGCGGCTCCGCCGGCTGCAGCGCTTCCGCCAGCTGCGCCCTCCTCTGGCGGCATCTGGCGGAAGCGCTGCAGCCGGCGGAGCCGCTCCAGGGCGCTTGGAAGAGGAGGAGGAGGAGGAGGAGGCAGAGGTAGGGAGGGAGGGAGGGAGTGAGGGAGAAAGGAGGAGGAGGAGGAGGAGGAGAAGAAGAAGGAGGAAGAGGAGGAGGAGATGGAGGAGGAGGAGGAGGAGGAGGAGGAGGAGGAGGAGGGAGAGAGGAATCGGGTGGCCGTTGCCGCCCGCGGCCGCCGCATCAGGTACCGCCGCCGGCCCGGGCCAGGGTGCCGCCGGAGGCCCCCCGCGGGAGCGGCCCGAGGGGGCCGGCCCGCTGGTTCCTGAGCAAGGGGCGGCAACGAGCGCCGACCGATCTCTGGGAGAACAAGCTCGGAAGTCCGAGCCTTCTGAAGAGGCCCACCTCTGGCCGAGGCCCTACATGGCGCCAATTGCGGGGCCGATTTTTTTACATAACAGCGAAGACTGATAGGTTTCTATTGGGGTCAAAAAAACATTTTGACTCCCGAAGGGCGTCCGGGCGGATGCCGGGGGAATCCGGGGGATCCGGGGACTCCCCAGAACTCCTATAGATTCCTATAGTTTCCTATGGATTCCTACAGATTCTGTTCCCAGAACACCATTCCCAGGCCACATTTTGAATGCCCGGAGCCAACAGTAGGCCACTTCGTGTTCTTCGTGTTCCCAGAACACCATTCCCAGGCCAAATCTTGAATGCCCGGAGCCAACAGTAGGCCACTTCGTGTTCTTCGTGTTCCCAGAACACCATTCCCAGGCCACACCTTGAATGCCTGGAGCCAACTGTAGGCCACTTCGTGTTCTTCGTGTTCCCAGAACACCATTCCTGTACCATATTTTGATTGCCCGGAGCCAACTGTGGGCCACTTCGTGATCTTCGTGTTCCCAGAACACCAGTCTTGTGCCATATTTTGAATGCCCGAGCTGAGGCAGGCTGAGGCCGAGGCAGGCTGAGGCAGGGCAAGGCTGACGGCAAGGGCGAGGCAACGCCGAGTGCAGGGGCAGGCTCGTGGTGAGGCAGGTGAGGATGAGGCAGGCTGAGGGCCGTGGGCAGGCTGAGGCTGAGGCAGGCTGAGGATGAGGCTGAGGCAGGCTGATGCTGAGGCAGGCTGAGGCTGAGGCTGAGGCTGATGCAGGCTGAGGCTGAGGCAGGCTGAGGCTGAGGCCGAGGCTGAAGGCAGACTGAGGCTGAGGCTGAAGCAGGATGAGGCTGAGGCTGAGGCAGGCTGAGGCTGAGGCTGAGGCAGGCTGATGCTGAGGCAGGCTGAGGCTGAGGCTGAGGCTCATGCAGGCTGAGGCTGAGGCAGGCTGAGGCTGAGGCCGAGGCTGAAGGCAGACTGAGGCTGAGGCTGAGGCAGGCTGAGGCTGAGGCTGAGGCTGAGGCTGAGGCAGGCTGAGGCTGAGGCTGAGGCAGGCTGAGGCTGAGGCAGGATGAGGCTGAGGCCGAGGCTGAAGGCAGACTGAGGCTGAGGCTGAAGCAGGCTGAGGCTGAGGCTCAGGCAGGCTGAGGCTCGAGGCTTGAGGCAGGCTGTGGCTGAGGCAGGCTGAGGCTGAGGCCGAGGCAGGCTCAGGCCGAGACAGGCTGAGGCTGAGACTGAGGCTGAGGCTGAGGATGAGGCCGAGGCAGGCCGAAGCTGAGACAAGGTGAGGCTGAATGGGGCGAGACGAGGTGATTTGAGACAAGGTGAGACATGAGAGATTGTCTCGAGCGTAATGCCTCCGAGAACAGAGATTCCCACATTCCCCACCCTACTGCTCCCTCCCCATTCCCATTCCCCTGCGATTGTTTTCGGTGCTTGGTGTCATTGCTATTTCACTATATGTTGGATTGTTGTGATATCATAACGATCGTATGAGCAACCGACCCAGATCCACGCAGAAGGGAAGCTGTGGTCATCGATGGTGGTGGGATTCATATACCCTCGGTTTCTCGTGCAAGGGACTATTCGCTTGTGCTACGCTTGTGCTACGGACGTATTCGCTTCTGCTACTCTTGTGCTACGGTCAGCTCGAGACGGCCACCCGTCAGCCCGCGCTCCCACCTGAGCCCACGGACGCGCCAGCGCGGCAGCAATGGCGGCAAGGCGCCGTGACCAGGTCGACGGCCGCCTGGACGCCCTGGAGCAGGAGGTGGCGGAGCTCCGTCAGGGGCAGGCGAACTTGCGGGGCCAGGTGAAGCGCCTCGAAAAGGGGACCCGGCTGGTGTCGGTCGGGTTTGAGGGGCCCTGCGAATCGCTGTGGCTCGCTCGCGAGCCACAGAAAGAGTACCGCGATATGCGCCGAGTGGCCCGTCGCGGCAGCCGAGACCCTGGCAAGGCACCTGGGCCTGGTCTGGCCCCTGGCGCCGCAGCAGGAGACCGCCCAGGAGAAGGTCGACCAGGCCGTCGCTGTTGGAGAGATCCAGCAGATGATGAGCGTCGACGGAGTCCTCCTGGGTGTCCACGCCCAGGAGGGCTTCGACGCGGCATCGGGGCACAGGGTGAGGCTCCCGGGCAAGTTCAACCTTGTCCTGGAGACGTGCCACGAGACGTGGGTCATCAGGAGCAAGCCGAGGACCCTGGACCGCCACCTGCGCCGGGCCTCTGGCTTGGCCGCAGGGGGGGCGTCCTGGCTCTGGCGGTGCCTGCTAGCCAGGCGCCGCCGAGGGTGGTGCTCATGTGGGGGGGCGCACCCGGGCGGCGCGCGAGAAGGGTGCCGGGAAGGGCGGCCGGGGTGGCGAGAGCGGCCAGAAGTGCAAGGCGCCGGGAGAGCGGGGCGAAGGGCAGGGCAAGGGCAAGGAGGGCCCTGACGGAGTGCTGCGGCGCCCCGCAGCCGCAGCAGGAGCGGCGGGGGGGGTCCAGCGGCGGCCGCGGGCGCCCCGCCTGCGGCAGCAGCCCCGGCGGCGGGAGCCGCCGCAGGGGCGGGCGGAGGAGCCGGCGGTGGCAGAAGCGGCGGGGGCGGAAGCGGCGATGGCCGTGGACGCCGGCGGCCGCTAGGGGCCGTGAGCGGCAGGAGAGGGGCGTGTTCAGAGTGCATTGCATGACTGCGAGCACGTGGACTGGGATCGGAAATCTCATCGCCAGCTCGCTGCGCTGAGCGCTCTCTCTCTCTCTAGGACGGAGGTCTCGATCGCAACGCCCCCCTTGTGGGTGGGGCCCCAGGGAGAGGGGCTTCCCCTTCGGGCCTCCTGGGGCCAGTGCCCGGGGGGGGGTCCCTCAGCCTTGAATGAGTGGGCCTTTTGGGATGTCGGCCCCCGATAGAGGTCGGTATGCCTAAATGCATCAAGTGGGGCCACTGTGCGTGGCGCTCACCACGGTTGCGGCCACCTCCACGGGGGACCTGTTACGGAGCACCCGCTATTTATGTGCCTTCGCTATGGTGTCACGCGCCTCTGGCGGACGCTGCGCGGGTATGTGCGGTTAGATACGGGGCTGTGCTCACGATCGAGACACGACGGTCCTCCCTCTTCCCCCAGTTGGCCTCCCCTGCCACTCTCTGGTCGGACCCCCCTCCCCCCTCCCCCCTCCTCGGGGCCCCTCCCCTGGTCCTCCTCCTCTCCCCCACCCCGCTCCCTCCTCCCCAGGCTCCTGGTCTCTTGGGTTCTGGGGCTCCTGCTCCCCCTGCCCCCCCCCCCCCTTGGGGTCCGATTGGAGAGTGTGGCAGGGGGGGCCAGCCAAGGGGGGCTTCCGTATACATCTGTGCGACCCCCAGATTGTACATAGACTTTGGACCGCCTGCTCCGGGCGCCGTACTACGGCAACGACCCAGGCGAGGCGAGGCCGAGGAAGGGATGGGAGGAGGGGGGAGGGACTGCCTCTTCAAAACGAGGACCCAACACCACAGGACGGTTGGGAACAAGCGTTCCGCTCAACAAATCCTCATGCTAGACATCCGCCTGGGCGACCTGAACACGTGAAACCAAGCGGTTCGCTCGAGACATACTCAGCACATCTTCATGTTAGACATCCGCCTGGGCGACCTGGGCACATGAAATCAAGCGTTTCGATCGAGACTTTCTCAACACATCCTCATGCTAGACATCCGCCTGGGCGACCTGGACACGTGAAACCAAGCGGTTCGCTCGAGACATCCTCAGCACATCTTCATCTTAGACATCCGCCTGGGCGACCTGGGCACGTGAAAACAAGCGTTTCGCTCGAGACTTTCTCAACACATCCTCATGCTAGACATCCACCTGGGCGACCTGGACACGTGAAACCAAGCGTCTCGTTCGAGACATCCTCAACAAATCCTCATGCTAGACATCTGCCTGGGCGACCTGGACGCGTGACCACAAGCGCCTCGCTCGAGACATCCTCAACAAATCCTCATGCTGGACATCTGCCTGGGCAACCTGAACGCGTGAAGCCAAGCGTCTCGCTCGAGGCACCCTCAAGACCTGGTCACGTGAAAACAAGCATTTCACCTGAGACATCCTCTGAGCTCTGGTCCCCAGGAGATGAACAACCTCCAACGCAAAACAAACGTTTCGCTCGAGACGTCCTCAACAAATTCTGCAAAACAAACGTTTCGCTTAAGACATCGGCATAAAACGAACATGTGTGATTCACCATGTGTTTTACTGATCGGAGTTTCGAAAACCAGCGTTTCGCTAGGGACGTCCTCAACTTTTTTATTCGCCGACCCTACGCGACCTCGTTATCCATCGCAGAATAAGTCCACCGGCCCTACGCAAGTCGAGGCCGGGGGGGCAACCAACTAGAACCCTGGGCCCACGCCCTTTCCATCAAAAAATCATTGATTTTCCGTTTGCCTGTTCTATGTGCTTCGCGTCCCCGCGTTTTCGGGCTTCCGACGCTCCAAGATGGCCCCAGAGGCCCCCTAGACCGCCCCAAGACGGCCCGATAGGCCCCCAAGAGGGCCCCAAGACAGTCCAAGAGGGCCCCGAAACGGCCCCAGGGGCGCCCAAGATCGCCCAAGAGGGCCCCAAGACGGCCCCAAGAGGGACCCAAGAGCGGAACACGAACCACCAATTCAAGCCTTCCGCCCCAAGAGGCCCCCAGGACGTCCCAAGAGGCCCCCAAGAGAGCCCAGGAGGGCCCCCTGGAGGCCCCACGAAGCCCCCAAGAGGCCCAAAAAGAGACCCCAAGAGGCCCCCAGGCGACCCCCAAGAGACCCGAAGAGGCCACGAACGCGCAGGTAAACGCCTGCGATGGCACAATACGGGCCAGCAGTATGAGCGAAGCGATTAAATAAGGAATGCTCAATAAGGAACGAAGCCCCTTTTCGGCCCCCAGAAGCGCCTGCGTGCACGAGGAGGGCTGGAGGAGGAGCAGCAAAGCGAAAATGCCCTGAGGCCAAGATTGCCGCAGAGACCGCCCAGAAGCAAGAAGCCCCAAGGACCGAGATCCCGACGACCATCCAAGAGGCCCCCAAGAGGCCCCAAGAGGCACCCCATGATGCCCTCCGATAAGGTCAAAGGGCCCCACGATGGGGCGCATGATGGGGAAAACAAAAGGACATCATCGAACTCGCGTTCGGAGCCGTACCCGCTTAGTCGCTTGCTGCTGGCTGTTTGCCGGTTTCCTTCTCCGATTCATCCCGGATCGGCGGCGAGCGACAGGGGGAAGTGAAAAAGAGGAAACCCCCTAGTTTTAGGCCGGGCATGTCCCCCGACAGAAAGGATTTTACACGAAAATTACCCTGGCGACGTACCCAACCCCTGCGCAGTGCGGGGCATGAGTAGCTTGGGAGACGTTATACGGAGGTGATGACGTGGCATGGGCACATATACTTCTGCGAGCGGCATTCGTGAGGCTCGTACCCCCCCAAGGATTGCGATGTCCCGCTCAGATTTGCCTGGTGCCCCACTCCGCAGGACCCACCAACAGCCCCCGAAAGTGGCGACATTTTCGCAAATCGCAGCCCCCCAGGGACGGCGAGGTCCCGCCCAGGTCCGCGCGGTGCCCCACCCCGCAGGACCCACCAGCAGCCCTCGAAAGTGGCGACAGGCTCGCAGATCGCAGCCCCCCAGGGACGGCGAGGTCCCGCTCAGATCCGCGCGGTGCCTCACTCCGCAGGACCCACCAGCAGCCATCGAAAGTGGCGACAGTTTCGCAGATCGCAGCCCCCCAGGGACGGCGACGTCCCACTCATGTCCGCGCGGTGTCTCACTCCGCAGGACCCACCAGCAGCCCTCGAAAGCGGCGACAGTTTCGCAAATCGCAGCCCCCAGGGACGGCGAGGTCCCGCTCAGGTCCGCGCGGTGCCCCACCCCGCAGGACCCACCAGCAGCCCTCGAAGGTAGCGACAATTTCGCAGATCGCAGCCCCCCCAGGGACGGCGAGGTCCCGCTCAGATCCGCGCAGCGCCTCACTCCGCAGGACCCACCAGCAGCCGTCGGAAGTGGCGACAGGCTCGCAGATCGCAGCCCCTCAGGGACGGCAAGGTCCCGCTCTGGTCCCGCGCGGAGCCTACATCCGCACGACCTCAGTGCCTCGAATAGTTGGGGCCTGGTTTCGCAGATCGCAGCACCCCAGGGACGGCGAGGTCCCGCTAAGATCCGCGGACGGTGCCACACACGCTGGATACCCTCCCAAGCTGACCTCGATATGTGGCGTCACGCTCGACAGATTCGCAAGACCCCTGGATGACGCGAGGTCCCAGCATTCAGGCACGAGCGGTTGCCACACTCCGCAAAGACCTCCAGCAGCCCTCGAACTGGCAACAGTTGCGAATCGCAGCCACCATAGGGTCGCGAGGGAAGGTCCCGATAAGGTCCGCGCGGTGCGTAACTCACGCAGGGACCCACCAGCAGCCATCGAATGTGGCGACAATTTCGCAGATCGCAGCCACCCAGTGGCGACAATTTCGCAGATCGCAGCCACCCAGGGACGGCGAGGTCCCGCTCAAGTCCGCGCGGCGCCTCACTCCGCACGACCCACCAGCAGCCCTCGAAAGTGGCCACAGTTTCGCAGATCGCAGCCCCCCAGGGACGGCGAGGTTCCCCTCAGGTCCGCGCGGTGCCTCATTCCGCAAGACCCACCAGCAGCCCTCGAAAGTGGCGACAGGTTCGCAAATCGCAGCCCCCCAGGGACGGCGAAGTCCCGCTCAGATCCGCGCGGTGCCTCACTCCGCAGGACCCACCAACACCCCCCGAAAGTAGCGACAAGTTCGCAGATCGCAGCCCCCCCCCAGGGACGGAGAGGTCCCGCTCAGGTCCGCGCGGCGCCTCACTCCGCAGGACCCACCAGCAGCCCTCGAAAGTGGCGACAGGTTCGCAGATAGCAGCGCGCGGTGCCAAACTCCGCAGGACCCACCAGCAGCCCTCGAAAGCGGCGACAGTTTGGCAGATCGCAGCCCCCCAGGGATGGCGAGGTCCCGCTCAGGTCCGCGCGGTGCCTCACTCCGCAGGACCCACCAGCAGCCCTCGAAAGTAGCGACAATTTCGCAGATCGCAGCCCCCCAGGGACGGCGAGGTCCTGCTCAGGTCCGCGCGGCGCCCCACTCCGCAGGACCCACCAGCAGCCCTCGAAAGTGGCGACAGGTTCGCAGATCGCAGCCCCCCAGGGACGGCGAGGTCCCGTTCAGGTCTGCGCGGTGCCTCACTCCGCAGGACCCACCAGCAGCCCTCGAAAGTGGCGACAGTTTCGCAGATCGCAGCCCCCCAAGGACGGCGAAGTCCCGCTCAGGTCCGCGCGGTGCCTCACTCCGCAGGACCCACCAGCAGCCCTCGAAAATGGCGACAGTTTCGCAGATCGCAGCCTCCCCAGTCGGCGAAGAGAGGGCAGGAGGAGGCGGGAGGCGGGAGGAGGACGCGACCACACCCCTCTATGCAAAACGAATACCCAACCAAGGAGGGCTGGGAATAAAAGATACCCAAAACATGCTCAAAAGATGCCCACAAAAACTCAAAATTACCCAGGGACGTATCCAACCCTTTGGCAACAGGCGGCATTATCAACTGGAGCTTTCAAAATAGCTGAACATCCGCTGGACGTCCAAGAGGCCCACGAAAGCGACGACCAGTGCATTCTTGGCAGTCGCCGCGCTTGAGGGTCAAGCGGTGTACTTCGCACAACGAAGAATCAGCGCCCCGCGCTCTCGAGGGACAGCGCTGCGCACTGCGCTACAGGACGGCGCCGCGCGACCGATCAGCGAACAGCGCTTTGCGCTCGATCCTGGTGTCCACAGACTGCCTGCACCAGGGCCGCGCCTTCTTTACACCCCTTCCGCGCTTTCTCATGCCACGGAGAAACAGCGCCGCGCGCTCGGGCCACAATGACAGCGCCGCGCGCTTCGAGAAGGGGCCGCACCCCGCGCTCGCTTTAGAAATATCAACGCCCCCTCTGGGGAATATGTTTGTGGAGCAGCAGTGTTCAGGGAGCGGCGCTGCGAGGATTCGTAGGGCTCGTCCTAGACATCGGATCAGTCGAACGAGCTGCGCACTCGGCCAGCGGCTCACTGGAGCTGCTCGAAGAGGCGGAGCTCGCGGGCGCCAATCGCGCGATGGGCGATCTCGGCATACCCGTCGAATGTCACGTCGCCAGCAGTCTCTAGACGCCCAGCTCCTCTGGACATCGTCGTTGGAAACCTGACCGACAAATCCCGATAGTCGGTACTCTTCGCTAGAGTGGCTGTCTTGGGCCGTTTGGGGGCCTCGTGGGCAGTCTTCGGGCCCTCTGGGAAGCCTCTTGGGCCGTCTTGGGGCAATATTGGGTGCCTCTTGAGCCGTCCTGTAGCTCTGGAAAGCCGAAAAGACGAGAAGGCCAAAATCCTTCAAAAACAAGCGTAAAATTCATGGTTTTGGCCTCTCGGGGCCCTCCCATGAAGCCTTTTGGAGGCCTCTTGGAGCGTCTTGGAAGCCTCTTGGACCGTCTGGGGCCCACCTTGAACGTCCTGGAGCGATCGTTCGGCGTCTCAGGAGCCCACGAAAGTGCCGACAGTTGCGCAGTTGGCAGCTCCCCCCGCAGGGAGCCGCGAGGTCCCGACGCGTTCCGCGTGTAACCCCACTCTGGGGGGCCCAGGAGCCCACGAAAGGACCGACAGTTGCGCAGTTGGCAGCTCCCCCCGCAGGGAGCCGCGAGGTCCCGACGCGATCCGCGTGTAACCCCACTCCGCTGGGCCTCCCAGGAGCCCACGAAAGTGCCCACAGTTGCGCAGTTGGCAGCTCCCCCGCAGGAGCCGCGAGGTCCCGACGCGATCCGCGTGTAACCCCACTCCGCTGGGCCTCCCAGGAGCCCACGAAAGTGCCGACAGTTGCGCAGTTGGCAGCTCCCCCGGCAGGGAGCCGCAAGGTCCCGACGCGATCCGCGTGTAACCCCACTCCGCTGGGCCTCCCAGGAGCCCACGAAAGTGCCGACAGTTGCGCAGTTGGCAGCTCCCCCCGCAGGGAGCCGCGAGGTCTCGGCGCGATCCGCGTGTCACCCCAACTCCGCTGGGCCTCCCCGGAGCCCACGAAAGTGCCGACAGTTGCGCAGTTGGCAGCTCCCCCCGCAGGGAGCCGCGAGGTCCCGACGCGATCCGCGTGTAACCCCACTCCGCTGGGCCTCCCAAGAGCCCACGAAAGTGCCAACAATTGCGCAGTTGGCAGCTCCCCCCGCAGGGAGCCGCGAGGTCCCCACGCGATCCGCGTGTGACCCCACTCCGCTGGGCCTCCCAGGAGCCCACGAAAGTGCCGACAGTTGCGCAGTTGGCAGCTCCCCCTGCAGGGAGCCGCGAGGTCCCGACGCGATCTGCGTGTCACCCCCACTCCGCTGGGCCTCCCAGGAGCCCACAAAAGTGCCGACAGTTGCGCAGTTGACAGCTCCCCCCGCAGGGAGCCGCGAGGTCTCGACGCGATCCGCGTGTACCCCCACTCCGCTGGGCCTCCCAGGAGACCACGAAAGTGCCGACAGTTGCGCAAGTTGGCAGCTCCCCCCGCAGGGAGCCGCGAGGTCCCGACGCGATCCGCGTGTAACCCCCACTCCGCTGGGCCTCCCAGGAGCCCACGAAAGTGCCGACAGTTGCGCAAGATCGCAGGAGGCGACAGATGCGCATATCGCAGCCCCACAGAGGGCGCCGCGAGGAGGCAGGAGGCAGGAGGGAAGTGGGCGGGAGGACGGGGCGACCAGAGAACTCTATGCAAAACGAGTACCCAACCAAGGGAGGGTTGGGAAAAATAGTCCCCAGACTATTTTTTGACTTCCCCCTGTAGAGGGACAGGCCCGACTTAACCCTAGGCATCACCCCCCTCTTGAACGCTCCCGACAGGAGCTCGGCGGGACATGATAGGAGGGGGAGGAGAGAGGAGGCGGAGGGGGAGAGAAGGAGGAGGTGGAGGTGGAGGAGGAGGAGGAGGAGGAGGAGGAGGAGGAGGAGGAGGAGGGAGGAGGGGGGAGGAGGCTGAGGAGGTGGAGGGAGAGGAGGAGGAGGAGGAGAGGAGGAGGAGGAGGAGGGGCTTCGGAGAGGACCATCGCTGACGCCGCGCTGACGCCACGGACACGCTCTCGGAGAGCAATGCTGCCGCCACCGCCCTTCCTGCTTCATCCCCTCCCCTCACCCTCACCCCCCCTGCGCGCGCCACTCCCTCCCTCCCCCTCCCCTCCCTCCGTCGCCCTCCCCCGCCCCCTCGCATCGGATAGCACATCTACCCTGGAGCTCCGGAAGAGCAGGCAGGCGCAAGCGGAAGGCTCGGGCCCTGTTTCTGGGCGCCCCCGCATCCCGGCGTCAGTCCACGCAGCACGCCCCCGCTCCAGCTGCCAGGCCGATCCCACCGGCCCTCTGGGCGCAGGTGGTTTCGCGGATCGGCTCGCCCAAGAGAACCACCCCTTCCACTGGTGCAGGAGTCGACCTCTCACCCATACACGCTGGTCGGAAGAAGTAGGCAGAAACATGAAGTAGGAAGGCGTTGAAAGTAGATTGGGTTCAGGTCCCCCCAGGGAACAACAAAACACAGCAGAAGCATATCGATTCTTGAAGAAGGAAGGCACTTGAAGTTAATTGGAATCTGGGACTCCGGAAATACCTATTTTCAACGACCGAGGGGTACCCCTCCTCAAGGGTTCTGAACGGCAGGGGGGGCGCGAGCGGCCGGAGCGTCAAAGACGACACAGGATGGCTACAATGTGGCCCAAGGTAGTCCTGAGGTGGCCCCTGAGATCGCGCAAGATGGACAGATAGGCGCCAAGGCTACCTCAAGACAGACAGAGGTGGCCACGGAGCCTCCCAAAGATACATTGGAGAGGCCTTGTAAAACCATGATCACTGAAATCCCACCAGCCCTCTAGGCGTAGATGGTTTAGCAAGTGAATTGCCCCCCCCACCCCCCACCCCAAGCACGCGCGCAAGGGCGTTCGAATACTTTCGACGTGCGGTGCGAGGGGCCCGTTTGCCAGAATTTGATGAAAATGTTGAAAGGGCGTGATCCACCGCCGCTTTACTGTGGCAAATTCCCGGAACCTGAGGTTTCCCCCCTTTTTTTTTACAAAAATCCCCCCCCCCCCCCCCCCCCCCACCCTGCATCTGCCGCGAACCCCACCCCCCCTCCCTCCTGCCAAAACTCCCCCCTCACCCCATAACCCCCCCCCAAAAAAAAGGGTGGGCAAGCACCGGTTCGGAACCCCCCCCCCTGCCGATAAAAGGGAGTGGGTCACTACCCTCCCAGATCCCCCACTCTCGAAAACCAGAGAGGGTCACCACCGGTTCTAACCCTCCCCCTCTCCCGCATTCTCTCGAAAACGGGGGGGGGTCACTACCGGTTCGAGCCCCTCACCCCCCCCTTCCCTTCCCGAAAACCTGGGGGGGTCACTACTGGTTCGAACCCCTCCCTCCGGAAAACAGGGGGGGGTCACTACTGGTTCGAACCCCTCCCCCCCCCCGCAAAAAAAAACGGGGGGGGTCACTACCGGTTCGAACCCCTTCCCCCCCCCCCACGCTCACCGCCAGCAAACGACTCCCGGGTCCCTACCACCGTTCGCACCACATCCCCCACTGCTGTCCCCAGCACCACTGTCCTCACCACCACTGTCCCCACTGTTCCCACCACCGTCCCCACTGTCCCCACCAGTGCCCCCACCACTTTCGCACTGTCCCCACTGTCCCCACCACTGTTCCCACCACGGTCCCACTCTCCCCACTTCCCCACGGCCCCAACCACTGTCCCACTCTCCCCACTGTCTGAATGTCCCACTGTCCTCGCCGATGTCCCCCTTAGCTGTCCCACCCACCACTGTCCCCACTGTCCCCACCACTGTCCCCACTGCACCTCTGTCCCATTGTCCCACCGCCGTCCTCGCCACCGCCCTCACCACTGTCCCCACCACCACTGTACCGTCCACTGTCCCACTGTTTCCACCACATTCCCACTGTCCCCACACCACTGTCCCCACCACCACCGTCCCCACCACTGTTCCACTGTCCCCACTGTTCCCACCATTGCCCCCGCTGTCCCCACCAGTGCCCCCACCAGTGTCTCACTGTCCCCACTCTCCCCATCTTTGTCCCACCACGGTCCCACTCTCCCCACTGGCCTCACGGTCCCCACCACTGCCCCACTGTCCCCACTGTACCAACCACTGTCCCACTGTCCCCGCCGCTGTCCCACTGTGCTGTCCCACCGTCCCCACTGTCCCCATCACTGTCCCACTGTCCCCATTGTCCCCACCACTTTCCCCACTGTACTACTGTCCCACCACTGTCCTCACCACCGCCTTCACCACTGTCCCCGCCACTACCGTCCCCACCACTGTCCCACTGTCCCCACCACTGTCCCGCTGTCCCCTCACAACTGTCCCCACCACCCCCGTCCCCACAACTGTCCGCACCACTGTCCCACTGTCCCCGCACCACTGTCCCCACCACCACCGTTCCCACCACTGTCCCAGCATCCCCACCATTGTCCAACTGTCCCGAGCAGCGGGGATCGTTTGCCGGCTGCGAGGGGGGGGGTGAGGGGTTCGAACCGGTAGTGACCCCCCCTGGTTTTCGAGAAGGGAAGGGGGGGGGTTCGAACCGGTAGTGACCCCCCCCCTTTTCATGATGGACTGGGGGGGGAGGGGTTCGAACCGGTAGTGACCCCCCGCCAGTTTTCGAGGGGGGGGGGGACGGGTTGGGAACCCCCAGTGACCCCCCCCCCGGTTTTCCGACAGCAGCGGTAGAACACACTCTTTCCAAGAGTTCGCAGGAGCGCGAGCGCAGGCATGGTTTGAAGAGTGGTGCTGCAAAACCAAATGATTGTTATATGTTTTCGGGACACTCGATTTTGAAATCCCTGCGAAACCCATGGTTACTGAAAGATTTCGGCATGCGCGCGCGACGACGCGCGCGTGTGCAGCTTCGTCCCACCTGTTGCAACGGATTCTCGCGACAGCACGCCAGCAAGGACGTTCGAGCGAGCGCGAGAAACCCGTTTGGTAGCAAGTTCTGAAGATGCTGAAAAACCTGTGATCTTCTTGAGAAGTCGCAAGAGCCCGAGCGTAAGCTTGTTTTGAACATGCTTGTTGTGAACCTATATGTTTATACATGGCTTCGGGACGCTCGATTTTGAAACCCTTACGAAACCCATGGTTTTGAAAGATTTCGGCATGCGCGCGACGACGCGCGCGTGTGCACTTCGTCCCATCTGTTGCAAGAGATTCTTGCGACAGCACGCGCGCCGGGGCGTTCCAGCGATTCCGACACGCGCGCGCGAGAGGCCTGTTTGGCAGCATGTGATGAAGATGTTGAAAAGCCGATGGTTTTCTCAGGAATTCACAGGAATGCGAGCGCGGGTTTTTTTTGACAATCCGTGTTGCGAAACCATGTGGTTGTTATATGTTTTCGGGACACTCGATCTTGAAACCCGTACGAAACCTAAGATTTTTGACTGATTCCGGCATGCGCTCGCGACGGCGTGCGCGTGTGCACTTCGTCCCATTCGTTGCAGGGATTGTTGCAAACTGGTACGCGTTGATTGACGAGAATGCGCGCATGGTGCTTTTGCAAAGGATGAAGGGGCGGGAGATACCGGTTTAGCTGGGGTGCTATGAACTCGAGGGTATGATGGACGAAGGGGCAGAATCAGATGCAAATTGCAAGACGAAAAAAGGGGTCCGTAAGGTCCAGGGGGGCGGGGGTAGATCCATCTATATACATATATATATACATGTATATATAGGCATCTGCAATTACATATCCATATTTAATATATATACTCAACAAGACACATATATTACCACATATATTTTGAATATATATATAAAAATTATATATATATAATATATATTTATATTCGCCGGCCCAACGGGCCAGGGCGTGCTAAGATCTCCGGTACCTGGGTAACAGTATTTCTAGTTCGCGCGCGCGGGGCGGCCCCTGGGGGTCCCCGGACGAAAAGTACCCCGGCAAGGTCCCGGCAAGTCCCCGGCAAGGTCCCGGCAAGGTCGGGCCAGAGATGCCGGAGCCCTGTTACAGGGCCCCAGGACGAGCCAAGAGGTCCCCAAGAAGCCTCCAAGACGGTCCAAGAGGGCCCCGAGACGGCCAAAGATCGCCCGAAGACGCCCAACAGGGCCCCAAGACAGCCCAAGAGGCCTCCAAGACGCCCCAAGGGCCTTCCAAGAGGCCTCCGAAGAGGGCCCCAAGAGGCCAAAATCGTTGATTTTCATTGTTTTTTTCTATGTTTTTTGCGTTCTGGCTTTTTCGGCTCCCGGACGCTCCAAGACGGCCCAAGAGGCCCCCAAGTCCGCTCCAAGACGGCCCACGAGGCTCCCAAGACGGCCCCAGAACGGCCCAGGAGGGCCCCCAAGACGGCCCAAGTGCCGCCCAAGACGGACCAAGAGGCCCCAAGACGGGCCCAAGAGGGGCTCAAGAGGAGAACCGAGAACTGAAAAATCGAGCCTTCCGCCCCAGAAGGCGCCCAGGAGGCCCCAAAAAAGCCCCAAGAGGCCCCCAAGAGGCCCCCAAGACGCCCCAAGAGGCGCCCAAGAGGCCCAAAAGAGGCCCCAAGAGGCCCCAAAACGGCCCCCAAGAGGCCCCAAAACTCGGCTAGCCCACAACGGTGCGACAATATGGGCCGGCGGAATGAGCGAAGCGATTATAATATATTTGAAAAGAGAATCGACGTGGTGCAATCTGCGTTGTGCAATCTAGGCGTCGACGGGGCGGCGACGGGGCGGCGCTGGCGAGTACGGAGCCGCCAGACCGCCAGCCAGGCACAAACGACGGGCGGCGACGAGGCGGCGACGGCGAGCACGGAACAGCCAGGCCAACCAGGCCCAGTTCCTTAAAGGAGAAAGAAAAGTACAAGCGCTGTTTGGGGAATAAGCTCCGCCGCCACTGGACTTCTTCCCCCCGATCCCGCGTACCAGATGCTCACATGCATTCTGCACGGTCGCTCGTTCAAAATACCGAGACATACGATCCCAGCCAGGCCCCTTTTCGACGCCCCCCCCCACCCTCGCGATTCGGCGGCGAGAGAGGGAGGGAAGTGACAAGGAGGAGGCCTTCCCAGCAGGTTCAGAAGTCCCCCGGCCTTCTGAGAAGCTGTCTGAGCCGAAACAAACTTCTCAGAAGGCGCGAGGGCTTCTGAGACGCCCCGCCACCTTCTGAGAAGGCCTTCTCCTTCTCACTTCCTCCCCTCGCTCGCCGCCGAACGGTATCGTGCTGTGCAGAGAACCTCAGCTGATCTCAGAGGTGCATCTCCCATACGTCTGGCCGCCCGCGCGCACGTGCCAAAACCCTTCCGAAACCATGGGTGCCACAAGAGCTGCAAAGAGTGCACATCAGACATGATCACCCAAGCAGTGCTTGCACTGAAAGGGTCCCAGCGGAAATTGGAAGCTTTGGCGAAAATTTCCCGCCGATTTTGGTGGCCGGCCGGGTTCGCGGGTTCCCAGCTCCGGGCTCCCGGGTTCCTGGTTAGTGGTTCCGATCCGATTTCGGTGGGTTTCGGGTTCCTGGGTTCCTGGGTTCCTGGTCGATCTCCTTATCGATCTCTTTATCGATCCCATTTCAAACCATTTACTGATTGGGGTATTCCTCTGGTGTAATTTCTCTAAGTGTACCATGACGAAATCAAGTACGCGCGCACTCGTTGAAATCTGAAGAGAAACCCTGTGTACTTGCACCATACATAATGCAAGCCATACAGATTGCAACCCATAGGCTTCGCATAAGAAGGCTGCACAACGTGAGCGCCACAATCCGTTGTTTTGGAGACCACGTTGGCAAACATCGCATTTCTGCGCGTACTTTCCCTCACTCGCCAAATCTGTTCAATCGGCACTGCTTGGGTAAGCGCGAGTAGCTTTCGCGGCTGCTTGGTTGACCCCGTTTCTCCAGACGGCACGCCAGCTGGGTCAATGGACTTGTCCCACAAGGCCGCAGGCTCCAAAGCGACAAAAACTCACATACTCCAGCTTCGCCAGGCCTCACAGCTGCTTCGGCATCATTCCCATCGCTTACCCGAGCTAACAATACAAAGCTTACCTCCGCGTGCTCGCTGCCCTGCTCGGGTGCCCTGGCTTCGCTGACGACGACTGTCCCGATCCTGGCCTGTTGCACCCCGTGCTCGCCAGCATGCATTCCCTGAACCTTGCGCCGCTGGCTTGCACATGGCACTTCGGCCGACAAAACTGTTCCCGGTTGAACAAAACTTTGTCTGCGTCTATCTGTCTAGGGGGGGCAGGATTTGTCCGCCCTGGCCAGCGCGTGCTGCAGGCAACGTGGTTGAATCAATCGGCGTCGCAATGGAAAAAAAAAAAAAAAAAAAAAAAAAAAAAAAAAAAAAAAAAAAAAAAAAAAAAAAAAAAAAAAAAAAAAAAAAAAAAAAAAAAAAAACACGGCCGACGAAACTGGACCACGAGCTGCAGCTTCACTTCTGACACCGATTCCGGGCGAAGGGGGGGGGGAGCGCAGCGCAGCGCAGCGCGGGAGGGGGCCGCGCGTGGCCCCTGGCCCGAGCCCTCCCGCTCCCAGCCCTCCGTCCTCCCTCGGGCCTCGGGCCCCCCCACACACACACACACACACACACACACACACACACACACACACACACACACACACACACACACACACACACACAACACACAACACACAACACGCACCACGCACACGCACACGCACGCGCACGCGCACGCGCACGCACTGCACGCACGCAAGCACGGCACGCACGCCCGCACACACACACACACACACACACCCACAACACACACACACACCACACCACACACGCACACGCACGCACGCAGCACGCACCACACCACGCACGCAGCCCGCACACACAACACACACCACACACACACACACACCACACACACACACACACCCAACAGCACCACAACACGCACGAACGCACGCACGCACGCACGCACGCACGCACGCACGCACGCCACGCACGCAAGCAACGCAACACACACACACACACACACACACACACACACACACACACACACACACACACACAGTCACACACACACAGTCACAGTCACAGCAGTCACAGTCACAAAAAAAAGAATGGTAGACATCCAGCTCTGCTGCTTCTCGACGTCTGCCGATCCGCGGGCACGGCCCACGATCCAGCGGAGAGCCCCCCTGGAGCAAGATCTGATACCAGGCCGTCCTTCCCCTTCCCTCGCCGCCCTGACTGGACCGGGAGGGCATAGCGCCTAGGCTTCGAGCACAGGCTACAGTCTAGAGGCTAGTTGACAGCATTCAGCGGGGCTGCTGGAGACCGCACGTTTGGCCGTGCCTCTAGCAAGCACAAGCTGCAGCTGGAAAAGCATGCAAGCAGGCGACGTCAATTCGAAGCCAGGCAGAAGCGGGCCGCCCGAAGAATCTAGGAACTCCCACTGAACTCACATACAGACTTTTGGCTAGACGACCCGAGCGTAGAGTGCATCGCGGACACTCGTGAACTGAGCGTGCCACACACCCTCCAACACACCTGCACAGACATGACGACAACGGCTACGTCGTTAAGGCTCGAGCGCTGGAATGCCGCATGCCCTGCGATTGAGTCGAAAACGGCAGCGTCAATCGCACCATCAACAGTGCCGTCATGGCAAGTAATTCTGCTCGGCCCTGCCACCTGTCCTCGCCTCCACGCCAGTCATCGGGTGACGCCATGCATGCTGCATCGCTATCGCGGGTTCGCGCCTCACTCATCCTAGCCTGAACGATCACGCCTCTCTGTCGACGGACTGTCGCGAGCTCGACCTCGATATCAGCTTGGGCACTGCACTGACAGCCAAGGTGAACAAACACGACCGCGAACAACAAACCTGTCCTCTCAAAACTGAAGAAGTTAAAGTCTGTGCCGTTGCCTGCGTCAACGCCAGACGCTCCAGCGAATGACTCGCGCGCGGGGCGAGCATTAAGAGAAACTACGCTAGACAAGCGGCTACCTTTGCGACCGCCTCTCTCTCTCCTGCCGGGAGCCCCCGTGAGGTGAAACGTTTCGGCGACTCCGAAGGGTGTGGTTTGCAAAGGGTGTGTTTTGCAACCGGCACCCTGAAGGGCACCCTGGGAGGCGGGCGAGGACCTCAGCAGAGCTCTCCGTCGCCCTCCTAGGAGGCCCGACCGAGGACAGTGTCGTGCCCCCCAGGCCCCGACGGTGCCGATCGCAAACCACACCCCGGCGTGACCATACCCTTTGTAGTCGCCGAACGTTGGGGAGGGGGCCGGCTCAGGGGCGGGGAGAACATCGAGCTGGAACCTGCGACACATCGCCGGTGGGTCGGCGACGGGCTGCCGGTGGCGGCTCCGGGCGCTCCCAGACGGGGTGGGCCCTCGGCCGCTGTCGGCGATGAGTACTCCAGATTTCGTAATAAAAGGGAGGGGGCCTGGACCCTCCAAGACAAGCCATTTCAGACCTCCCCCGTGGGAAAACCCTCCAAAACATCGTCCCGAGACCCCCCAGGCCCTCAAGAGACCCCCCCCCGAAATGAGACCCCCCTCCCTTTATTTCGAAATCTGGAGTAGGCGACTGGGTGTGGGGGGGGGGCAGTGCACCACGGCCTCTCGTTATCATCCTGTAGTCAGAAGCCCCTGTGGCCCAGAAGAGAGGTGGGAGGTTCAAATCCCCAGCGTCAGCTCTGTGGGCTGGCCCTCTGCGTCAGCTCTGCAGGCTGGCCCTCTGCGCCGAGCATCCGCGCAGCTCTGTGAAAGCAGCGATTGCCGGCAGCCCGTCTGGGTGCGTTGGAGGCGAGGCACCACCCCCTGAGCCTGGCCCCCCCCCCCCAACGCTGCCCCTGGTCCCGCCGGCGCGGCGCAGGCCCCCGGTGGCCGCCCAGGAGCCCCTCTGGGCTCAGAGTCGATCCCCAGACTCGGGGGCGCCCACGGGGGGTCCGCAGGTCCATGGCCCGAGGCGAGCGTGCGCGACCCAGGGGGCGGCCCAGAGACGTCTTGCAGCGAGAAGAGAAGAGTCACTGCACTGGCCTTGCAGACGTGCTGCAGCGGATTTTCGCGTGGATTCTAGTCAACGCAGGATCCTGAAACGGCGAGCGAAGAACGAAGTCGATTTCACGTGAATGTTCTGGAGTCTTCATTCCTGACCCAAAAAAACATCCGCACGAAATTCACTTCGAAATCCAGAACGAAATTCTCCAAGACAGTCCGGGCCCATCCCATCGTTTTCCGAGCGAATTACGCTCTGCAATGCTGGTGCCAACAAAAATAACAACCAGAGTGCCAAAAAAAGAAAAAAAAAAAAAAAAAATATCGGTGCCAGGCACAGCCAAGTAAGTTAACAGACACAAGTCCCAGAAACACAAAAAAAATAAAAAAAACAAAAAATAAGAAAAAACAACATAGCCAGAAAAAAAGAAAAAAGGTAAAACGACAAAAAAAAAAAAAAACAGAAAAGAGAAGAGATGCAACTAAAAAGAACGGGAATAAAAAAAAAGAAGATAAAGAAAAAAAAAAAGAAACCTATTCCCCCGTATTCCCTATAATTCCTATACATTTTCTGGGCTTTCGTCTTCCCACCCACCTCCCGTATCTCCCAATTTTCCCCGGGATCGCGATGAATTGTCTTTGCTTTTCCCCTCGAGTAAGGAGGGACGAGCGACGCGGGGGGCAAGTTAAGGTTTCGATGCGAGGTTTTGAAGTGTCCTGACGTTCTCCGTCGTGCTCGCGGGCTTTCAGCCTCGGAATGCGTTGTCCGCAGCCGCGCCTCGCGAGAGCGCTCCCGGGTTTCCGGATCGTGTCCGGGCGGCGGCCGCAGACCCGACATGACCCGAAACCAAGCTCGCGGACAAGGCAAAGGAATTGAAAGGATGTGGAGGAGAGGATGATGAGGAGGAGGGAAAGGGAGGAGGAGGATGGGAGGAGGATTGAGGAGGATGAGGAGGAGGAGGGAGGAGGAGGAAGGGGAGGGAAGAGAGAGGAGAGGGAGGGATAGGATTGTGTAGGAGGAGGGGAGAAGTGCCTGCTCATAGGCGGCGGAGCTTCTCAGAAGCCCTCGCGCCTTCTGAGAAGCGTCTGTGTCTTCGGGGAAGGCACTCCTCCTCCTTCCTCCTCCTCCTCCTCCTCTCCTCCGCCTCCTCTCCTTGCTCCTGCTCCTGCTCCTCCTCCTCCCTCCTCCTCCCCTCCTCCTCCTCCTCCTCCTCCTCCTTCCTCCTCCTCGCTCCCCTCCTCCTCCTCCTCCTCCTCCTCTCCGGAAGGCTGGGGGGGGGGCGTCCGACCTGCTGAGAAGACCTCCGCTTCCTCACTTCCACCCCCCGCTCGCAGCCTAACTATACACGCCGTCTTGACACGGGCCCGAGATAGCGGGGGGGGCTGGCACTGAGGGGGGAGCATCGACCTGGACTCGGCGATACGTCGTCGTCTGATCAGAGGAAAGAGAACCATGCACGTACACCGATTTTGGCCAGGTCCATCCTGAGCCCAATGTCGGTGCATACGCCCTCCTGCCTTGGCCAGGAAGGCATATGCACCGATCCTGGGGCCAAGAATGGGCCTGGCCAGGACCGGTGCATGTGCATAGTTCTCTTCGCCCGATTGATCGGCAGCAGGTCCCAGAAAGCAAACCCCCAGTTTCTTGGGCGGGGTGGAGCTAGCAGGCCCCTCTCGGTGATCAGTGGGCGATCGGGGGTCGATGCATCCGCCCTAGGTCTATCGCCCCATATCGTTGGCCTCGATCTTGACCCCTTTCCTGGGAGCAAGCCTTCTCCATCTTGAGCCGTTTCCCGCCAGTCCCAGGGAAGGGCCCCTGGAGGCCGAACATGGCCGAGAACGTTCCGTCGTGGCCTCTGTTCACGGCGCGAGGGGGTCGGGGTCCCCGGTGGTTTTCGAGCCATGACTCGGGCGTCCAGCAGCCGTTCGGGACGATTCGGGTACGCACCTGGGGAACGCCCTCGAATAAAGAGACACAAATCCCAGGATTCCCAAATTTCCGTTATTTTCTGGAGTCTCGTCTTCCCCAAAAATTGCCACGTTTTCCAATATCATCCGAGGAATCGGCGACTAATTGTGCTTTTGTTCTTCCCTCCTGATCGACGAGGCGCAGCTGTTGAAAAGAATCCCGAGGCCGAAAGCCTCCAGGAACCACCGGCGACAACGCCGGAACCCCATCGATCTTCGAAGGTCCTCTGAAGGCTCCCAGGCGATCAAACGGGCACGATGCCCAAACGCAAATGGCGCCCAAAACCGACAGCGGCCGCTGTTGGATAGGCGACTCTGTCTCAAACGGAAAAAGGCCGCAGCAACACCGACAGCTACTGTTCAAAATGGGCAGGAACTGCTGTCGAAGCTCGTCCCCATTGTTTCCATACTCATTTCGATCGCACCGAGCTGTGAGCGCGCCGACGAGCAAGGGGATTCCGGACTTCGATGCCGCTCGCGCCAGGGGTCCCTGGGCCACGCCCTCGAGGGCAATCCACAGCGCAAAAGAGAGGGTTTGACAGCGAAAGTGGGCGAGACGAGGAGAGGGGCTGGGACAAGCACGGTGGCGTGCCTCCGAAGAGGCAGGTCCAAAGAAGAGAAGGAGGAGCGAAGAGGGAGGAGGAGCAGGAGAAAGACCGCAGCCATGTTGGCTCAAAGTGGCTTCGTCGGCACGTTCTGGCGGGAGGCGCTCGCTCTGCAGCCGGCCTCGTCGTGGAGCTTCCTGCCCTTGGCCGAGGGCTCGGTGTTGGTACCAGCGTACATGCTTTCCGTGCTCCCTGGCAGTCGAGATGCTCTCTATGGCATCCCAGCGCTTCATCCAGGCATCTCGTGGTGCAAGCTTGCTTGGTCTATGGCCAGTGGTTGGCAGCTTCTGTGGGTGTGGGGCGATATCATCTCGCTGCTCGTCGCAGGATTCGTACGCTTGCACTTCTCCACCCGCTGCTCTCCTGCATCCCAGGCCGTCGTGATGGAGTTGGGCTGTCGGGACTGCGGGAAAGACTTTCCCCGTGACTAGCTTCCTGGTGCGTAGGGGGGTATCGTATGTGGTTGACGGGAGATTTCGCCCCATGGTCGTGGCTGTTCGCATTCGCCGTACTGCTCTTGAACCGCCTGAACTCGCAGACAACTTTTGCTATGGGCATCCAACTTGGCAGCGATGTGTGTTATCGCGTACTGGGACTGGTGGCAGTTCGGCTGACCGCGTGATGGGCACTGAATGTTGCTGGCTGGGCACCGACATCGTTTCTGCAGTACCGTCTGTATGCGGCTTCCTGGCACCTGTGGCGCGCTGGACTTTCGTCGTGAACTTCTTCAGGAACGTTTTCTTGGATTGGCGCCGTCCCTACGTGTCATGCGCAGACTTTGGGGCTTCGGGTGCGCGCCGGGAGAAGGAGGAGGAGCAGGAACGAGCGAGCACAAGCTGAGAGGCAGCAAAAGTCCGAGCGGCATAGGTGGCCGAGAGAGATAGCCCACAATCCCCGTTAAGACGGCCCCCCAAAGCACCTCCCCAAGCGGGGCCCGACGCCGTCCGCTTGTCGGGGCCGGGCGTCGGGCCAGCCGCGTTGCCGAGCTTCACCACCCAGCCGCGCGCGCGGGCCTGGAGGCAGGAAGGCACGAAATCCGAGCACAGCCAGCCGCTGTACTCGCAGAGCACCACCAGGAACAATGCACAGGCGGCGCCACATGACGACGAAACAGAAATCGTAGAGGGACGCGACCCCGCCATCGGCGCACGAATATGGGCTGGCTCTGTACTCACATGACTGGGCCACGGAAGAAAAACAAAACAAGCTGACAGGACCAACAACTGGGCTGCCTCGGCAACGAGGATGAAACATCAGCAACGCTCCTTGCAGAGAAGAGAAAATTGGCTCACATCAGACGGCCACTCGCCGTGTGCGTCCCACCCGTGGTTGGAAACAAGGGAGCTTGACACGGACCGCCACGCCGTGTCAGGCCCACCTACATATGGAAATACCGCCGACGGAACTTACAGGCCGTCATCCCACAAGGCGACGCCGTGTGCTGCCCACCCCACGCTGGAAATAAACGAGCTCGACATGCACGTGGCCGTGCTCGGCTCACCACAATATGGAAATAACGTTGATGGAGTAAGCGGGCCACCATCTGGCACGGCGATGCCGCGTGCTGTCCACCCCACGTTGGAAGTTAGCGAGTTTGACTGCAAGTGGCCATGATCGGCCCACGAACATGGAAATACTGCATATGGAAAGGCGGGCTCGCATCCCCGAGGAAGGCGCCGCGCGCTGCCAGACCAAGATTGAAAAATAAGCGGCCTGATCAGGTGGGAAGACAGCTGCTCGGGGCGCTGATATCCAACAGAACGCCAGGACGCCGCCCCCTACAGCAACACCCACGGCCCAGTGAGCTATCCAGACACACCACGCAGGAGGGAAGCGCCACACTGGGACCACGGGGCCGCTCGGCGGAGACGACGCCGAAGCGGCGACTACGAACCCGCGGGCCCCAAAGGCCGCAGGATTCGAGCTCGCCTTGATGGCCAAGGCTAGCAAGGGCGCCAACTCCTAGGCATCTGCCACGCCCTCCATGGAGTCCAGACAGGGTGCCAACTTCTGCTCATCAACCTCGATGCCAGCCCGCGAGGTCAACCTGCCTCCCTTGCTTGACTGGCGCTGGTTACGACGAAAGGCCCCACAGCTCAACGTCAAGCTCCTCTGCTGCCTTCTTGTTTTCGTCAACAGTGGAGTTGGTCACCACCAAAGCCTCCTTTGCCGTCTCGAACGTCTTGGTAGCTGCTGCTTGGTCTGACTCCGCCTTCTGAAGACGGACGCGGGCTTGGTCAGCCTTCCTCGATAATGCCGTGAGCTTTGCTGAGAGACGCCTGTTCTCGTACAAATTCGTGCAAGACGTCCCCAGGTGCTCGCGTGCGAGGACCAGCGGTTTTTTTGGCCCACCCACTCAAGACGAATGGTTTCCAACCATTGCAAATGCCTGGCCAGGCCGTCAATCTCCTCACGCAGCTCGTCTGATTCGTTAGCTTCTGGCTGTGCACCCCCGTCCCCCGGAGGCGCGCGAAGACAAGAATTCTGGGCCTCGAGCTCTCGCAGCCGCTTCTCCAACTTGGACGAAGCCGAGGTGGGCTGGTCTGGTGGCCAAGCCTTCATCTTGCTGTTGGACAGGCCAGCGGGCACAACACACTTAACGCAGGCACTCTTGTGGACGTTTTTTTTTTGGAGGGGGGGGCGAGGCAGAGGAGGGGGCAGTCACGGTCCGCGCCCGTAAACGAGGCGGAGGGCTCGCACGCGCGCCCCGCGGTCCCCAGCGGGCGTTCCAGCGCCGGTAGCACCTGGTTCGACCCTGTGGTTCTGGTAGCACTGGTAGCACCTGTGGTTCGACCCATTATCAGTGAGAGGACCGCTGGTGCGGCGGAATGTACAAAACTTGCACATCCCATCCTCCGGAACATTCTCGTTCCGCGGAGCTGGGGCCATGGAGACGTGCTTGCCACACCGGAGGGGCCGCCAGAAGCCCGTACAGTGCTGAGGAGGAGGAGGCGGATGAGAGGGGAAGAGAGGAGGAGGAGGAGGAGGAGGAGGAGGAGGAGGAGGAGAAGGAGCAGGAGGAAGAGGA